CTTTTTTTTTCTTTTTTTTTCTAAGGTAGGATGAAAGCAAAAGCTTTAAAGTTAGGTTTTGCTTTTGTTTTTTGCCCTTGACAATTGGCAGACCTCTTCTAATAGCCTGGCTATGAAGAAGTATCTCTCTTCCTGGACTGAGGCTTTTTCAAGCATTAAAGCTAAAAATTAAGGATTCACCTTATGTCATCTTTGAAGTGCTTCCTTAATGGCAATACTCTTATAAACAAGCTGCTCATCTTGTTACTTTATATCAATATCATCTAGGAGTCTGTGGCTTGGCCAGCATAGATTGAAACCTGGGAGACTTCTCGTTATGGGTTAAGTCCAGTGTTTGTGGCTAATGAATTGTCCTTATCTTTCAACAACTACTCAAATCCATTCTTAACAGGCAAGAAAGAACACAAGTCAGTCTAAAAGGCATATGGTAGCACAAGAATAGTGCATGTGGTACTGGACTGCTTGTATTTTTTGCTTGAAAAGAAAATAGGTAAAAGATGGCTCAGTTATGTCTTGAGGATGGCCTCATCACAATTTAAATAAGAGCAAAGATAAGAACACATTGTAGGTGTTATTTATGTTTCTGTGTTTCAAGAAATAATAATAGTAATAATAAAAAACATTTCCTGTAAGTTTAGAAGGATTTTAATGGGACCTCAAGTCATGCAACATCTGGAAACTGATCTGGAATGTGGAAAAGATGGATTAAAAGACTCCGTGCTACATAGCTTTGTGAAGTGGAAGAGGCATTTGACTCACTGGAAATTTAAGAGGAGATGAGTCTTGGAAATAACTGAAACAGAGCTATGTCTAATACTCTCATCTCCTGTGACTTCTGTATTGATGATGATGTGCACAATTTTCTTGTTTCCCAAAGATTTTCTGGCATTAACTAGTAAAGCTAGTCACTTATTAAAGTCTTGGATGTTTTCAGGACTACTTGATTTAAAATTAGTTTTCTTCCCTGAAAAGTACCTGACTGTACTATTTTGACAAGTTTGTTACTTGTTGTGATGGTAAGTTTTGTATTATAACAAAACCCCAACAGTATTCTGCCAGCTCTTCAGCTGAGTCAACAGCTTTCTGAAATAGCACTGCCGATGGTAGTAACCCCTTGAATATTAAGTTAAAGAGAAGGTCAAGAGAGATCTGTTAGCTTATAGGTGTCCACAGTGGTTTACTATATTAAGACCCCTTGCTGTGTGTTTGGATGAACTTGCACGCGTATCAGCTTTTAAACTACCAGGAAAAGCTGAAATGTCATAATTAGTGAAAGCTAACAATACATTTGGAACCAAGTTCTCTGTACTCCTTAAAATTCTTTTCAGTCCTTATAGCAAATTCAAAATAACAATTAGTTTTATTTTTTTGCATATATTTCAGGTTATATTAGACTATTATTCATCTTATGTATTATAATTTTGGCATAATGTGCTAGCTGTGTGTATTTCACACTGGCAGTTGTGTTCAGCCTCTGGAAGTTTAAGAATTATTTAGAGAACGCTGTTGAACAGAGGGCCACACATGGGGAAGGCTTTAGAGAGTCTATTTTGTCATTGGTTTTAAATTCTTTGTATATGAGAGCTTTTGCAGGAAGGAGCTCTTCACCAATCCTGTATGCCACAGTAGAATGTAAAGTGATACTGCTGAGATACCAAGTTGAAGAAAATAATGTTTGTTTGGTGGGTTGACCTTGGCTGGCCACCAGGTGTCCATCAAGCTGCACTTAATAGTCTCCCTCCATCAAAAGAACAAGGGAAGAAATACAACAAAAAGTTCTTGGGTCAAGATAAGGACAGGAAAAATCACTTGGCAATTACCATCACGGGCAAAACAGACTCTACTTGGGGAAGTTAAATTAATTTATTGCCAATTCAACAGAGTAGGATAATTAAGATAATTAAGAACAAATCTAAAAACCACCTTCCCCCCACCCCTTGTTTCTTCCCAGGCTCAACTTCACTCCCGACTTCTCTTACCTCCTCACCCTGAGTGGCACAGGGGGATGGGGGTTGTGGTCAGTTCATCACGTGTTGTCCCTGTTGTTCTTTCCTTCTCATGTTCTTATCTGGCTCCAGCATGGGTTCCCTCGCATGGGAGACAGTCTTCCATGAACTGCTCTAGTGTGGATCCCTTCCACGGGGTGCAGACCTTCAGGAACAGACTGCTCCAGCGTGGGTCCCCTATGGGGTCAAAAGTCCTGCCAGCAAACCTGCTCCAGTGTGGGCTCTGCTTTCCACAGGTCCTACCAGGAGCCTGCTCCAGTGTGGGCTTCCCATGGGGTCACAGCCTCCTCTGGGTATCTCCACCTGCTCTGGCATGGGGTCCTCCAGAGGCTGCAGGTGGACATCTGCTCCGCCATCAACCTCCATGGGCTGCAGGGGGACAGCCTGCCTCACCATGGTCTTCTCCAGGGGCTGCAGGGGGATCTCTGCTCTGGTGCCTGAAGCACCTCCTCTCCCTCCTTCTGCACTGACCTGGGTGTCTGCAGAGTTGTTCCTCTCACATATTCTCACTCCTCTCTCCGGCTGCTGTTGTGCAGCATTTTTTTCCCCTTCTTAAATATGTTATCACAGAGGCGCTGCCACCATTGCTGATGGGCTCAGCCTTGGCCAGCAGCAGGTCCTTCCGGGAGCTGGTTAGAACTGACTGTCTGACATGAGGGCTGCTTCTGGTGTCTTTTCATAGCAGTCGCCCCTGCAGCCCCCCTACTACCCAAGTCTTCTCATGTAAATCCAGTATAGTTTGAAATGACTTACTGTTCATGTTGCTTATGGTTTCATACTTTGTTTTTTCAGAGGGCAGATGATTTCAGGTGAAGACTGTGAATTTATTCAAAGATTTGAACAGAAAAGAAATCCAGAAGAAAAACAAGAGTTGTTGCAAACAGAAGGCAATCAAGTAATTTTCCTTTCTTTTACTAATGTATCTTTTGGGGAAGAGGATAGAAGGAAATTTTCATACCAACTCTATTTTAATGTTGGCTATATATAGTTAAGATGTTATGGAAGAAGTATAAAACTTGTTTATTATGACTTTTTTTTTTTCTAGATATACACTGGACATTCTTTTAAAACCCTATTAAACATTTATTAAATGTCATCTGACTTTGAAGGACTCTGTTGTAGGACAAGCTAGTTCAAGTCTTTTCTCATCCTAGTTTACTCAACTATTCACACTTGTACTTGAGCCATGTTTTGTGAGCTTTTTTCCTTATAGTTTATTGTTGAGAGCTACTACCAGTGAGATTTCAGCTTAGCTGAACAATTATAATGTACTAGAGTCCACTGACTGCTAAGGTGGATTCAGTTAAACACAGGTGTCTAATGTCATTTAGACATGCTAAGATATGAGACATCTGCATTGGACAGAGCTGATGTAAGGTTGCTGGGTGACCCATGCCATGTGGCTTATGGAGTCCAGGCAAGATGCCCAAAGACACTTTAATGATATTTGAATCCTAGCTTCAAGCCTGAGGTTCTAGCAACATCAGGCATCAAGAGGACTGAGGGGGGTAGGGGGGAAGATGAAAAGCAGGAGATGCACTCAAGACACACAACTTTCCAGCCTTTTTTCTACTTTAATTTTAGGTTGTTCTGTTCTTCCCCAAAAATTGTATTGTGTGACTACTGTGTAATGAACCATAATTTGCATAGTGACAAAAGCATATATGGTGAACATTATATGCCACTATATAATTACAGTGTAGCAGTTCAGAGTTCCATTTTTCTTTCAACTTTAGTTGTATATGGTGAAGGGGAAAGAGGGTGTGTAAAAAGTAGTGTTGTGACTATTTCAGCCTATTATATCTGTTGCTGAAATTGTAGAGTTGTTCAGGAGGCAGAAAACAGCTCAAATATGAACAAAGATTTGCCTATAAGGTATAGGAAGTGAACAGGTAAGAGTGACCTGTCTTCCCTCCCTCAAGTTGTTGAAACTTTCTTGTACTGTGTCTAAGTTTGTTGCTGCTTTGTCAATTTACTTGGTTCTTCTCCTCACTGGCATAAAAAAGGATGCTGATGGGAGATTTTTCTAATCAGTCTTTCAACAAAGCACCTTGCTGATTTTTCACTAGTGAGTTCTTGTTATTTCATTTGAAAGCCATAAAACATTTTTAAAGGGTAATGATCAATGTGACAGAAAATTTTCTTGTAATATAATGCCAAATGTATTCATCTTTTATTGCAATTGAATAAGATGTTGGGATGCTCAATGTTTATGTAAGACTTAACTGTGAATTGATGAAGTCCTGTTTTATATTATCAAAAGGAATGAAGACAATTGCTAATACTAATTTTAATGTCTCTTTTATTTTTCTAGTGTGCTAAAACATTTATAAACTTGATGACTCATATCTCCAAGGAACAGACGGTTCAGTACATTCTGACAATGGTTGATGATATGTTGCAAGTAGGTCAATAACCTGCCTTATTTTTCAGTCTTTAAATACGTGCTTGAATGTTTCCTTAGCCTAATTCAGGTCTCTTCAGGTGTTCATCATCATACTGTATTAAAAAGATTCTTTTAAATTGTCAGATCTTGTCTTCAGAAGTTAAATGTTAGCACTAAAGTTGTACATACATGTGTTTATATTCTGGAAATAAAACATACTTGTATGTTTGTCTCTTGGCTCTCATCATGTTTGCAAAACTTTCATGTTCAGGCATGATTTGTGACCTCAGCCCTTTACTCTTGTGTAGACAAGATATGATTTCTAACTTGAAGTTTTTGAAGCTTTTCCTACAAAGGTGTTAATTTGGCCAGCCTCAGGAAGAAGGCGTAGTTTCTGCAGCTTCATGTTTTCAATGTAAGTTAGACTGTTTAGGACAACACGTTCTGAAATTCTGCATGGCTCAATTATAGAACAGCAACTTCGGATTCAATGAGATACATAGCTTTTTGTAGCTATGGAATACAGTGACTTACAAGAGTAGGCTATTGAATGTGGTGTCAGGACTGCTGTACTGACCTGGACAAGTCAGGAGGAGACTTTACTCAGTCAAATAATCCTGCTTTTGTGTTTCTTTGCTCTCTAGTAGGCGATGAGAAAGTGGTCGGAGTGATGATGTAACAAGATGGATTGAGTTGTATGAGGTTTTCTCCTGGTATTCAAGTAGAATATCTGGTTGTCTGACAGTTTCTCTTCTGCTGTTTTATGTTATATTTAATACAAGGTTACAGTGAAATGTGTCTAGTGATGACTTAATGGTTTAGGGCATTTCCCTAGGAGGTGAACCATGTGAGTTCTAATTCCAGCTCTGAGTATTCAGTATTGCCAACAGGCAAGCTGCAGAGTATTGAACCTCTCTGCAGTACATATAACAGGGGGATTATGGTATTCTTTCAGGTGCCTGTCCGCACATTAGAGCCCTGACTGCTAGAATAATAGCTAGTGGTGGCGGCGGCAGTTTATTCATGCTGGTCTGCAACTTTGTCACTCTGACCTTCTTCTTCTTTTCTTTAGATTTACTCTTTCTCAAGTGTGATACAAACATCAAGCAGCAGAGAAGACAAAAGGGAGCCTCAGTGGCATTCCTTGATAAGAACACTGAGTCGGGAGTGCCTTGTTTTGGTTTATGCATTTGATGACAAGCTTTGTCTTAGTGTGTGAGAACTCTGTTTCTTATGGCCACTTTTGTGCGCAATGGGTCTCATTTTTTGTGTAAGATATGTTGGTAGCCACAGAAGTAATCGTTTCGCTTGCCCTTCTTTGGAACTTTTTGTATTAGTAAGTCTTGTTTTGCTTATGTGCTTTGACATTAGCACATAGCCTATAGCTACAATATGTAATAGTGACAATATCATCTCCTGTGCTGTGGAATTAATGCCTCACAGGCAAAGGCTTTCACTGGCCTATGCTTGAACAATTGCATTAGTTCTAGGTGGTCACAGAAAGTGGTTTTGAGTAATCTCTTAGTTGCCCTATTGGTTCTGTCATATGTGTCTAGATGAACATGTTTTCTTGACTTTATGGTCATGGACTGACATTTCCATATTCGGGGCCTTAGCCTGTCACAGAAGTGTCATGTGTGGAATTATTAATGTTAAACATAATGACTTTAAATTGTCCAGGCTTTATAGTGATAGAGGAGAATAGAGAAGTTGGTGCATAGTATATATTTGCTTCTGTTTGAAATTGGATGCCTTTTTCACTTTAGAAATTCTTCAAGGCTGCACTGGCTTTTGTAATGCTCTGTTGTGACTTTATTATTCAGGGATATCTTGCTGCTGGCAAAGAGGGCTTGTGTGCAGGCATCTTCATGGCATCATCCCAGGCTTCCTAACCCTCCATGCCTCCACTAGGCAAGGCTGAAAACAGGATTTCTGTTGTCTTTCGGTCATGTTCAGATGGTAGAACATGCTGTCAGTGATGCCTTGTGGACCCTTGGCTGCACACTTTCAAGGTGTAAGATTCTTGTCAGAAAGCAGCATATTGGGCATTGAACTCAGAGTTTAGTGCAGGGTCTCTGCAGACTGCATGGACAGAAGAATCCACGATAGTGGATATGAAGTCTCCTGTCTTTGCCTGAGTAGTCTTAATTCAGTACATGCAAAGATTTTAAATGAGAAACAAGGATGTGGCCTGTCATGATGCCACTGACTCTTACAGTAAAATAGTTTTGAGCAAGGATGTTCACTACAGTTTAATGTGATGAACAAATAGTATTTGAAAGCTGAAACTTCTAGAAACTATTGTAGGTAACAGTATCCGGCTTTTGTCTGTCTTGATAATGACTGTCTGAGGTTCTTCTATTATCTTTCTCTGCTTTTCTTATGAGGTTGTAAAAATCATACCAATTGTGTTTTGAGCACACCAAAAGCCTACCTGGGTGTCTAGGATTGTTCCAGCAGTTCTACTGATGGGTTTAATCATCATTCTAGGAAAGATTTATTTTTTGGAAGTTTGCAGAAGTGAAATTAATGTGGTGATTGCCTTATAAGAATATTACCATTCTGCGTATTTCTGAAGGTGGAGAGTGTTAGCATACTGAAATCTCTAAGGAAGCATTTCTTATTCTATTCACATGATAAATACTTGGAACAATTTCTCTGGATTAGTGACCCTGTCACACTGCACAGTCTGTTAATTATGAAATCTTTAAGAACCTGTGCAGGTTGCAGTACCACCCCAGTGAGCTTCATTATGCTTGTTCAAAAATGACAGATGCTAAATAATTCAACTATTGATGTGAGAGCTTCAGAATTTCCTTTTTGTCAGTGTAGTCAGTAGCTGCTTAAGAAGGTGCTGCACTACATATTTCAGGGCTGTAGGCAGTTCTCCACTCCCTCCCTCCTGTCTTTACCCCACACCTTAACAGCAAACCAGACTAGTCTTCTGATTGACAGCATGTCAAAGCTATTTCAGCTTTCTTGCTTCCAGACCTGTCTGTCTCCTCCTTAGTTATGTTGTAAACTGAACTCATTGATCTTGTTATTTTTGATCTTCTTAGCAAGACTGTGTAGCACAACTGTAGACACTAACAGCGATTTATTTGATCAAACTGCCATTTTTCATCAAACTAGTCCTCACAGAGGTGAAGGCTCTCCACCAAGGCACCGTGTTCTTGAGATCTTACTCTTTTTTTATTTATATCATAGTTTGCACAGCAAATTTTGAGAGGGTTTTTGAGTGCTTTTTGACACATGCCATATAAAGCATTAATCACTGTAAGGGTTATGACTGTCAGATAACCAGTGACACCTGACCTTCCCCAGTCAGTGAGCAGGACAGCAGTTTGCAGCCCCTGTGTGGTGCAATAACTTTTATACTTGAAAGGAAGGGCTGTTTGCAACTCTGATGCTTAGTACCATGTCAGTGTTTGGGTCATGGATACACTGATGTCATTTTGTTTGTAATGGATCATACTCCAACAGGCAGGCTTGCCTAGCTGATTCTTGGTCCATAGAGTTAATAATAGGGTGCTGAATTGATGGAGGAAAGCCCTTCAGCTAGGGGAGTTTGAAAATTAAGTTTATTGGCTAGTGGAGACTAAGATACTCTTCTCATGCGAGTTTCCCAATTGCAGCATTTCAAACAGTTTTACCTTCCTTGATAGGAGTTGTATACTTGGTGGCAGTGACTTGACTTCAGTAGGGAGACATTTGTTTTGAAGGAAAGCTTACTATCCACCAGGCTAGAAAGTGTATAGAAACACAGAGGAAAAGCAAGAATCTAGGTATTTGATTTTCTGGAAGATTGTCTATATTCTAGGCTTTAGGAAACAGCAGAGCTCCTCTTTCTCCTTCAGGCTTGCATGGCCTCTCTCTGGCCTGCTTTAAGGAGAACCGTAATAACTGCTTTTCACAGTGGTTATTAGGTGAAATGCTTGAAGAAACTGTACATGGTGCCCAGGTTCAGGTGCTTGTGGTCTCTTGTGGTTCAGCCTAGAAGCCCTGGAGAACAGACTTGTGGTGGCAATGTCCTCTCCTAGGTATGCAGGTTGCCTGAGGTAACAGCTGAACAAGCTGCAGCCTCACCCGGGAGAGAAGAGCTCGCTTTCCATTGAGAGGAATGGAGAGGCAGGGCTAGCTTATGTCTCTGAAGTTTCACTTGTAGCACACGCAGCCAAGTTGAACAACGGGCTTTTGTGTGGAAGTAGCAATATGTGGAAAACTTTGTATGGACTTTATTCAAGCGTAACTGATTGGATGAAGAGTAGTGTTGTTCTGGAAAATGACAGTATTTAGTTAGTCTCTCATTTCTCTCATTCTGATTGCTTAATCAAAAGGATACATCTGTTTTTACTCAAGCGGGTGTTGGAATACTGAAATATAACTAGGGTTTCAAAATTTGTTTCCACACCCCTGCCCCAAATCTCTAACCTTAACGTTGGAGTGCTGAAATGAACTGTATCCACAAGTAACTGTGAAACTGCAAAATTTCCATGGGCTATTACAAGCCAGGATACACTCTGATAATGTATGCCAACATAATGAGAAGCAAATAACTGCTTTATGTCGAGTGTTTTTATAAGTCTCTCATCTTTTCCCCTCTCCCAACTTTTACAGGAAAATCATCAACGCGTTTGTATCTTCTTTGATTATGCAAAACGTGGTAAAAACACTGCATGGTCCTATTTTTTGCCAATGTTGAATCGACAAGATCTTTTCACTGTGCATATGGTAAGTTTTACATGTACCTATCTCTGAGGATGGTAGAGAAAAATGCTGGGTTTATTTTTCTTTAGGAGATTTTGGAGTTTGAAGCTAAACTATTGCCTGGACTGGAAAGTTTTGCAGTCTAGATGAGTAATCTTAATATAAGCTTCACTTGATTACTACATTTTAGAAAGAAAGAAAACTTTTAGAAAGAAAAGTTACATTGTTTATTGAAATTGATATTTCTGGGAGACTTGATATCCTGCAAGCACTGCTCTGCAACAGCTAAAACACTGGCATGTTGTCAATGCTGCTTTGGTCACCAGTGTAAAACACAGCACCATATGGGCTGATATGAAGAAAATTAAGACCATCTCAGGCAAGCCCAGTACTACCATGTGCACTGTACGATATCTGCTGTGCTTTGAGCCACTGGATGCTGCTGGTGTATGTGGAGTGACTTTTCTGGAATTCTTAATGTTCTTCTGTCATCTGTGGTGAGAACTGGCCATTTCATCTCAGTAGTTGTTTTTCCTTGTTGGGCAAAAACCAGGGTTGTGTAACTGCAAATTCCTAATGGAGACCATTGTTTCCATCACTAAAACTTGTGTTATGGTTTTAAGAGGGAGGAAACTGCACAACTATGAATTGTTCTTCACTGCATACGTTTATGCTGGCATGGTATAGTAGAATCAAATCAGTGGCTCAAACTGCAAAACCACATACCTGACTTGCGTTGTGCTGTGGTGGCAGTACTGGCACAAGGAATTCCAGGCAAGTCATGCTGTTTGCCCTTAGGGTGTGGTCAGGGCAACTGTGTTTTTGGGCTGTGCTGTGACTTGAACCGTGAGCTGGCCTATTTTCAAGAAAAATGTCAGGCTTGATGTTTTTAATCTGACTGATTCACTGCATGGCTGTGGAAACAGGTTACTTGGTGCAGCTGAAGGAGGAGGCTCTTGTGGGTTTATTCATTTTTGGTTTGGGTATGGTTGGTTGTTTTGTTTTTGTTTTTATTTTTGTTTGGCTTGGCTTTTTTGCTGGGTTTCTTTTTGGTATTGCTGCTGAAGACCCATCTTGCTAAACTGCAGTCTGGGCAAACTCAGACAGTATTGTCTTCTCAAGTATACAGGTAAAGTGCACTTTTCCGATCCTTGTGGATTCAGTCAGTCTCCCTGGAATGGTGGTTTTCAAGTGTATAATATAGAAATTTCTATGTCTGGTATTATTTTGTTCACAGATGTGTTATTCAGCTATTGTTTAACTACTGCAAAAAACACATACAACTGTACAAGTCATAGAGAACCTCCATGACATGAATCCACTTTAAAACACTAGGTTTCCTTCCTTTACTTGTGCCTTTTAGTACTCTGTGTATTTTTTTTTTAAAGCACATGAATGCTTTCCAAAACACGGTTTTAGGTTTATGTGTGGGGTGTTGGTTTTTTTTCCTTACTGTGCACACTGGAAGACTTCTGGTACCACATCATTGCATCTGCATAAGCAAATGAAAAATAAGGGTCCTCTGTGTCCAGGCTCAAATTCTGCTAGGCATGAATGGTCTGTCATTCAGGTAGCAGTTTTAATTCAGGAGCATGATAAGCTAAAGGTCTAGTATCTTGTGTTTCAAAGCTGAAGGGATTTTACAGGGTTACTTGACTGCATTCAGAAGTGGACTTGATGCATTTCAATGTAGAGATTTTGTTCCAGCTTCTCATGATCCCTCCAGAAATTGGTGGTGGTGGTGCTGCACACCTGAATGCAATATAGTGGAGAGGTGCCTGGAACACTTTCCTTGCTGCATCATGGAGCTGAACGCAGGAAAAAAAACCCCTTTCCTCGGTATTTTCTTCTCCTTGCTGCATCATGGAGCTGTACGCAGGGAAAAAAAACCCCTTTCCTCGGTATTTTCTTGATTAGACTGCCTCCTTATATATAAACTGGCTCAAATGTTGCTGCAAGTAAGCCGCAGGCTGCAATGTAGAGTTATTTCAAACATGATTTGGAAAGGCTGGCATAGAAATGCACTCTTCTGGTTTGTTATGTGTATTCTTGTGCCATAGGCATAATGAAAATTCCTAACCTGACTACGTTTTTACTCCGCAACTTTATTCTTAAATTCTACCTTCCCTTTTGGTTTTTCGCTCTTTTTGCTTCAGTTTAAGTACAAAAATCTAATACTTTGCAGTTGTTTGTGTTGGCATATGCTGTAGTTGCTTAAAGTAAGTCTGCTCATGTATGTGTTAGGCCATTAAGTGTCTTACTGTTGATGGATTTCTGAATGTAATGGTATCCTACAGCAGTAGCCCATTGATTGCTGTCGTGTTCCCCCCCCGTGCCCCCGAGTTCTTCATTGATGCCTTGTGAACTTCATCAGCTACAGGTGTCTGATAAATTGTGAAAATATACCAGTTACTAGGAAGTAGAAGCAGCAAAAAGCTGAAGAAACAAAATTACTAGGCATGAAAAGTCACCTAGTTAGAAAACAGGTAGATTTCTGTAAGGGGCCATCTTTTACATAAACTTGGTTTGCAGAGCTTATAGGACTTCTTACTGAATCCTGAAATTGCTTCGTTTCAAAAAATCTGTTTATTGCATTCATTTTCAGGCAGCAAGAATTATTGCCAAATTGGCTGCATGGGGGAGGGAACTCATGGAAGGCAGTGACCTGAATTACTATTTCAACTGGATTAAAACTCAGCTCAGTTCACAGGTAAAAAGCTACTTCTTTTTAAACATTACAATGACTTTGGAAACTTTTTTTCAGGACTATGACTACATAGATGTGCAAAAAGTATCTTTTCGGTTTTCTTTTTTTAACATGAAATTTTACTTTGTCATTTTAAAATAAAATAAATATCCTTTATTCAAACACATAGTTTTAAACTTAGTATTTTATATTTTCTAAGGCTTATTTTCTAAGGCTTTTTGCCTCTTCTGTTGGTTAACATTGATTTTCTTCTGGATGCTGAGGAAACATGTGATGAGGGGTTTTTGTCTCCCTGTATTGTTTTGTTGCTCAGAGCTTTTTGCTGGGAATAAAAATCACATGGCAGCAGGAAGTGAATATCAAAATTTTTTTCCAGTTTACTGTAGTACAAAGCTTTTATTTTTAGTCCCATCTCTTGATACTAAATAAATCCTGACTTATTTGGACAGTATTTTTTATGGCATTAGCTCAGTATGAACTGCTTACTGCTGCTTTGTCCTTCAAAGACAAATTGTTCTCTGTTGTGTTAATTTTTTGAGATTTTCCTTTCAAACCTTTTAAAAACCCAGAGATTTGTCATTCTCTAAGGCAGTGTTGTAGCAGAAGTGGATTCTGGAGAGCAGACAGATATTCAGTAGCTTTAGTAATGGTATATTTTTTCATAGCTTTCCAAAAGGAAAAAAGGAGTTTTATTTTTTTCTCTGGAAGAAGAATCTTAAAGTTGGAATTTCCTTCAGAAAGATTCAAGAGAACATTTTTCAAATTTTAAGATAAGGATGGATAAAAGTCTTAAGTAAATCCACACTTAATAAGTAAAATTAAATCTTAATATACCAGGATCAGCTCTAAGCATATTCTTTTAGACATGGTGCGTGTGGGAAATAAATACTTTTCTTGCTTAATATATTATCATAATATATTGTCTCTAATAAGTTCTTAATCTTTTTATGACTAGAGGGATGGGAGAATTGAAAGAAACTTGGTAACAACTGTTCTGTAAGGGTGAAGGACAACTCTGATTTTAAACTTTCTTTTTTTTTTTTTTTTTTTTTACTAGAAACTGCGTGGTACAGGAGGTTCTGTGGAAGCAGGAGCAGTCTCCACAAGTGATGTGAGTTTATCTTTGAAATCTGTCAATTTGCTGTTTTAGGCAGGTGATATCCGCTGTTCGGATTAAGGCGCAGAGCTGTTCTGGTGTACTTGGAATCAGAACTGTACAACACCAGAGTGCCAGGTGATGGCGCCAAGAAACAAAAGTATTTTTAAAACACTGATTTCACAGAAAATGCTGGCAGTGGAAGTATGTATTCTACCAGTTGGTTTGGGTTGTTAAAACTGTAGATGTATCTAGCATTCTCTTTGTTAAATCTTGAAAGAATGATATGCAATTAATTTAATACTTGAAACAATACTGTTTAGCACTGAACGATTAGACTTGTAGAAGAAGGCTGAGACTAAGAAGCTTTTGGCTTTTGCGATGTGCAGAACTTAGAAAGGGCATGTCAGATAGTAAAGCTAACATTGCCCCTCAACCTCTGTAGTGTGAAATTACAGGAGTGCTTTCGAAGCTGTAGGATTTTCATGTTTGAATAGCTTGAATTTAGGGGAAAATGGATTGTCCTTTTCGCATCAGTATTTATACTGAATTTCATGTAGTTATAATGGCTGTTGAGCTTGGAGATGAACTGCGACAGTATAGCAAATGCAAGTGATCATCATAACGATTTTCTGTTTTTGTTGTGGCACAACAAGGTGGTTTATCGTAGCTTTTGAACGTGGAGTAGAATTCAGTTCAGTCTTTTGTTCCTTTTGCAACCTGAAAGTGTTCACAGTTTTTCAGAAGATTTAAATATGGACCTGAAATTTGTTTTTCTTCTAAATATTGTCATCGCTTTAAAGTGTTAGCTTCCTGTAGAGAAAAGTCTCTTAAAGTACCACCTGACTGGGGTTTAAAATAGAAAAGATGAAAGACTGCTATGCATGACCATGGATAGGGGGTAAAATTAAGGGCCTGAGCATAGAAGTTGAAGTATTTCAATATTTCATATGCAGTTCTGTGTGTCATACTGTTGGGTTTTGTTAGGCTGACAGCCCTTGGTCATATAGATTTAAAAGAGTAAATAGTTCTACAGCATGCATCACCACTCGTTATAGAGCTGCGAGCTCTCCTAATGTGCTTGGAAATCTTTATTCATTGTCCTGTAGCACTGCATGGATGTACTGTACCACTGCAGGGCCCCAAAGGAACAGAACTGATAGTGCAAATATATTCTAGGATAATTAAGTTAGTTAAGTATTGTCTTGACTTTGTTAGTGTTCTGATTTCAGATCTAGCTTGTACAGGATTTTCAAGCCAGTCCTAACTAATTTATTTCAGATTAAATTAGAGATGTAGCTGTAGCATTTTACACAGGAAATGAAGGCTGGGATTTATTACGAAATTTCAATTATAATAGTGTGCGAAGAGAATGCTTTTATGACAGACTCTTTAAAAAGAAAACTCCCAAGTTCAGTAGTACACAGGTTGGTGGTGCAGATAAGTTAATACATTATTTGGAGGGGGAGGGCTGTCTGTGTATGCATAGCTGTTTTACTCGCATGGTGTGTGAGAGTGAATACCTACCCAGGGAGATGAACTTTCTGTATAATGATTTGGGCCTAGATGTTCAGACTCGGTTTTTACATAAAGGTCGTAATCTCTGATGAGAGACACAGGGTTAATTCATCTTTATTTTAAATACTGCTTATTGTCTCTTCTCTTTTATGTTAATATGGGATTGCCTGACTTCTTTCATCCGTTAAATGTTTGAAAGGTTTGACCTTGTATTATGTGAGTGATCTACCGTAAGACTTTCAAGGCACTCAGCAAAGAAAAAGGCTTTGGGAGGGAAAAAAAAAACCCACCCCAACATTTTATCAACACCGTATCTGAGTATTAGTAAGGATAATGCCAGAAGATGAGCAAAAGAGGAGGAAAAAAAAAAAAAACTACTTCTGCTGTACTTTGGGGTCTTTCTGCTGCTGTAGCAGAAGGGACAATGAATTGGCCAAAACCAATTTTTGAACTGCAGCCCTTCTGAGCAGTTACACAGAAAATACATGCTTTTAGAGATGAAAAGCTGTTTAATGATTCTGTCTTTGTGCCTGTTCATATAGGAAATGAAATGAATGAAAATAGAATTCAGTGGTGCATCTCTTGGCGTTTTCCTGATAAAGTTTTTTAGCTTTGTTATTCTTTTCTTAGCACAGTATACTGTGCTAAGCTTTTAATGAAAAGAAGAAAGAATTAAAATGCTAAGCTAAACTTTGTGGATGATTTTGCATACTCATTTTTCTAATAGTATTTTTTATATAAATATACATCTCATTATGATAAGCATGGTACCTATTGTGTGGCACACGCATAGGAAAATATACAATTGTAATGACACCACTGCTAGTTTAAGTTGGGGAATGGGAAAAACCTGAGCCCAGAAATCCCATTTCTGTAATGACCTCTAGCAAACTTCTTCAAGTTTGGTAACCAGTTTGCTGCTTTATTTCCCCAGGGTTTGCTCAATAGAGTAACAGTTGACTCTGTGGGTGAAAGGGCTCTGGCAGTATAATCAAACAGAAAACAGCCTTCATTCATAGATGCTGAAAGAAGGCATGTTCAAATGGGCTATAAAAATCCATTAGGGTAATGTAAAATGGTATCACTTGCATAACACTTCTTTCCTATTCAAAACTCTTCTCTATTTATATTTTGCTTTCCCCCTCTTCTTGTGAGATTTTTTTTTTAAAGGGAGAATTTATTTTTTTTTCATAAGGGTGAGCCTGTTTAACTCAGAAGCATTGGTGAAGAAATGTGTGTTGAAGTATGCCAGTAAAAACTAGTAAAGCCTAGTTTGGAAAACTGAACTTCAGCACTTACTGCATAGTTCTTCTTGTAAGAAGTGATGTGTTCTTCTTTTCACCCAGAGTTCCCAGTATGTACAATGTGTTGCTGGATGTCTGCAGCTGATGCTCAGGGTCAATGAATATCGCTTTGCGTGGGTAGAAGCAGATGGAGTAAATTGGTGAGCATTTATTTCAATTTATATGGATATACTTGCACTTAAAATAACATGCTCCCCAGTGACCTCTTTTGGAATAGAAGTCTCTTGCAAAAGAGAGCTGCTCTGTTTGAGTACAAAACCTATTTGTTTTCAAACATTAATACAGTCAAACAGGCAAATTGAACTTGCAGATATAGGTACCAATGTTGAGGCTTTAATGCTACTTTGTTCTTCATTAAAAACTGCTTAAATAAATATCTGAAGGGGAATACAGCCATTTGTCTTCAGCTGAAGATGCTCTGGTTTTCACTGAATAGAACACGGACTAACAAAATGAGTTTCTGCAAATCTTTCTTGTCTTTCAGTTTGGAGTTGTTCAGTCTGAAAATATTAGTGAAAGGAGAAACATGTTCTGGAGCTAAGCTCAATTTTTTTTCCACACGTATGACTTCAAGTAGTCATTCTTTTATCCAGATTTTCTTCACAAATAGCTTTGCATGAGGCTAGGATGTTGTCACTTATATTATTTAAAAAATACCTGTCTAAAAATAACTTTCTGTCATACGTGCCTCTATTGGGGATGGTGGCTATACAATTTGCACTTTAAGAAAAAATACCCTTGTACTCTGAAATGGAGAAAAGTCAAAGTTGCCAATGAAGTGAGAGTTCAAAAGATGTTTGTGTCTGTCAAGACAAGGCTATTGAAACAAACTTTTTCACCAAGGAAGCTGTTTAATAAGCTGTTAAAGCATTACAATAAACCTGCATTTCAACAAATTTGAATTTGTCTTAATTTTGATAGCAACGATCTTGAAAGTAGTTTGGTTTATTTTCTGTTGTTTTGTTATCTTTTTTTTTATCAAATTTGGCTATTTTTTTTTTTAATGGACTTGTAAATTGCTTATTAAATTTTCAAAACTTCAGCTGAACAAAGTTTTTGTATGATTTCTTCTTGGAGATCTTGTGATATTATTTCTTTTCTAGCAGGGCTTTGTATATCTGTGATGTGTTATATCTATAAGCTGTTTCATGAGAACTCACTTGTTAAATAATGACTATTTCAGTTCATCTTGGGCAGTCCTATGGAGACATACAATTAAGGAAACAAGTTCAATTTGTGTAATTTTGTTCTGTCTGTTTACTCCTTCTCTTTCTTGACTCTGATGGAATAGCTATATGTTTCTCTTTCTCCTAGAATGACAAATCGTGCTCTAAACATGCCACTAGCAAAAGAGTCTCAGTGAACCTGAAGATGGATACAGTACCACATCAGTTCACATGGGAAAAGCTGCTTTATAGCTGTAAGGCTAAGGAGGAAATAACTGTATCTTTAAAAGATGGTTTTCTGAACAAGCTGCTTGTACAATGATAAATACTGGTGCAGGATACTGTGAAGCGTGTGTAGTATACTCACCCTCAGCAGCTCTTTCCAATAAGTTCCTGTTAACCATTTCTTTTAATGTTTCAGGGTGCAGCAGTACAATACATGCAGTCTTTATTTAAAAATCAAATGTATACTATGTTAATTTTTCAGTATCATGGGAGTCTTGAGCAACAAATGCGGCTTCCAGCTCCAGTATCAGATGATTTTCTGTGTGTGGCTGCTGGCATTTAGCCCTCAAATGTGTGAATATCTCCGTCGGTATAATATTGTTCCAGTGCTGTCAGATATTCTTCAGGAATCTGTCAAAGAGAAAGTAACTAGAATCATCCTTGCAGCATTTCGGGTAAGTGTCTGCTGACTGCAATTGCACTGTGCATCTCTCCTTTTTTTTTTTTTTTTTTTTTTTAAACCTGAATTTTGCTACAGGTAATAAACACGCTACTACAGGTAACAGATGTCTGCTATTCAATGTCTTCTTAAAATAAGGTTAACTAAAAAACCCACTATATTAACATGGTCATTAGTGATTTCTCTTCTTTAGGTCAAGATTTTTTTTTCTACTAGTAATATAAAACAATGGAGTTACTAATACCTGATAAATTTTGCTTTATGAAGCTTTAATTAAAAAATACTATTTTGAATGCGTATCTGTCCAACTGACTGACTTAGAAATTATTTTTATCTACTAGTCCAAAAATGTTTTCTTGATGGCTCTGTCAAGATGAACGAGGATATCCATGTAAGAGTTATTAGTTGACTTACTGTGTCCACGTTAACTGAAAATCACTGGTCCTATTTAAGATAATTTGGAATAACTGAGCACCTAGGCTTGATGTTTTCATTGTGAGAGTACCAATTTGTGTTCATGGGTGCTGATTGTGCATGTGCGCATAGTCTTATGTGCGTGCTTGCCAAGTGTCTTGTATGTGATACAGGAGTGCTATAACAACTTCTAATGCTGTTTTAAAACAGGACTTATATCCTGAATAGGAGATATAGATCATGGAACAGTTTTCTTGGGTACTGATTGTGTTCCACTAGTAGCTGTTGCAAGTAAATTAGGATGGGAAGAGGGGAATTGTTGCTAACTGACTTGCAGATGAGCAATAATAAGCTGTTTGACGGCATTTATGCTGTAACTTAAATGGTCTCTCTAGCCAAAAGCATCTGCTATTTTTAAAAATTTCTGGATAAGGTAGATCATATTCTTATGATATTTATCCTGC